AAACACAAAGTGCATTGTGATTTTGAATAGATATTTCAAGTTCTAGTTAACTTGATATATCTTCCAGTTTCTGAGATAGGAAGGAGTATAATATTTATAATGATAAAATTATAGCAACTTCTAACAGAAAGAAACTCATTTATGACTTAATATCAATTTAACTCTCATCAGCTTGAAAGTCTATCCTCCATAATTGTTGTATCCAAGTATGACAACATTTCATCAATAAACAATAAAGCAATAACCACTTTGTTCAATTAATTAGATATCTGTTTAAGTAAAAATAAGAATAAGTCAGTAAAACTAACTATCAGATTTTTAACTTGACACAGACAGTTACATTGTGATATTGCTTTGATGTGCAAGGTTTCAAGCTAATATCTCGACCTTACCAGTAATGGGACGAGACGGAACGGAACAAAGTGATTCCAACGACCCCACCAAAACTATGTTATGAAAATGAAAGATTTAAACGGCTAGTTGATGAATGCCAGCTTGAATATGCACCCACTGTTTGGAGCCTCTGCACAAAAATATCAAAAAATAGAGGTCAAAAGACGAGCAGTTCGCTGGGTGAAACCCTCCTTTATGCCATAAGTAACAGCAATGCAGGAAGATCTTAGCTTTTTTATCGAGCTACGCATAGTAAGATTTTACACTTAATATGTTTTTACAAAATGTACCACAACCTAGTAGCCACTGCCCGTCCCACATACATTAAAACTCCATCTAAGTTTATTAGACATATCCACCCCTACTCTCTTAGGAAAATAATAGTTACATCAGACTACCATAAGATCTCGTTTTCCCCTAACTTTATCAAACTTTGGACTTTAGAGCAAGCTTCCCATAAACACGTCCCCATGCTTGATATTGATCAAATCAAACAGGCGTGGATTAAGATAAGGTATTTTTTGACTTTTTACATTTTCAAATTTGGCAGTTTGTGCGTTTTTTTTATTACTTTCTATTTTATCGTCACACCTGTGTTGTTTGTGCCGTGTGAAGACCGTTAAAAAGTCGCCCCGTACATTTAATCAGAGATGTTATATTTCCGATTCTTAAAGCTCGTTCAGCACGACATAATTGTTGTGCTTGTGGTATTTTAGTTCTTTCTTTTTGACCATTATTTATTTCGGTGGTTCCAGTATTTCTTACTTGAATTTTGTTTAATCACCCCTAGGATATGAGTGCTGCTTATTAACCTTGCCTTTTTGATGTCTTATATGTGATATACAGGCTTCATAACCTCTGATCTCTTTTTATAATTCCATTTTGTTTAATTTCGCCCATTGTTTTCTCGTTTAGGGCACAAGCATTATTTTACTTTGGGACCATACGCCGATTTTCATGGAATTGCACTAACGTGTTACATTGAAGGTTCCATGAAAACCGCCGTATGAACACATTTGCCCATTGTGAAAAATTCCAAGTTCTACCATTTCATTTTAAAAGTTATATTCTGCTTTAGACGGTGCTAGGGGACATTTACGGCAATTTGCACTTTCCATTACCGTTCATGTACATGCTCAATCAAGCCGAGTCTGCAACACGTTCAATTTGTCGTTTTGTACGATCTTTAAGGATTTCTTTATTACTCTCTATTGTTTTGGTTTTCCCATTTAATCGTATCCTCATTTTCAAATCTTGAAAGTCTCTTCCTGTCGTGTAAATGTTCATTTATAGGTTTTTACTTTCTCCCATACCATTTATTAACACATCCGACGTGCTATTTGTCCCGCGAGACTGGTTGGCAATGTACCTCAGTGACTAAATATCTGTAGTTAAATTTAAAATAGTTTTTTTACTCAATCACGCGACCATAAGAAATGAACCTTAATGATTAAGAGTTATACATTATTTTAAGCTGTAACGTTTCCGTTTTTTTTTCAATTACAATGTTGATCCGGTACAAATTGTAAAACTTGAATGACCTTAACAAAAATTTGAACATAAAGAGGCTAATGCCTAAAAATAAACGTGTGGCATGTCAAAACAGTAAAGAGACTGTTGAATATGCCAATAAAATGATGTCACTCTTTCTAAAATATGTCAAGATTAATTATCAGATGAAAGTTATATCTTGTTCGGAAGTAACATGGTCGCATGAACAATCTTGCTTGGTGGTTTACATGAAATGAGTCAATGAAATCTGTGCAAAATCGATACATAAAACATTATATAATAATATATTCATACAATTATTCTATTAATATGACAAGTAATCATTTCGAGCATTTGTATTTACATGTGTCATACGACATTGTAGCTCTGTAACAATTTACCATTTTAACATACTAGCATAAAATATCAAAAGAGAAGAATTAACAGCCTAAGAAAGTGCATGCGAATTTTGCTATCACTATTAACTTACTTTTGAACTGTTCTTGTAGATAATTATCCTTCTAAACTAGATTATTGCTAAGCTTAGTTGTGATAATAAAGACGTTAGTTTGTTTTTACTCCCTTTTTCAAAATATATTCATTCCTAATAATAATAGCTTTTTAAGAAATAATCGAATACTTGGTTCACTTATTATGCCCTTTGATTTTAAAAAGAATGCAATCTTTCAAACAATGCTTAAAATACCTTTAATAATTTAGTATACAGATAGCAATGTGCTTTACCATTGAATCGCAATTCGAAAGCGCGGTATTGTTAAAAGGTGAATTTCAATCAGACTGAAACAAACAAGAATTCGTTTGCTTTGAAAAATAACTTCAAGTTTCTTTTTTCAAACGCCGATACAAGAATGATCCTTTTACTTTTTGTTGCTTTCAGACAATAGTCTTGAGTTTGATGGTTCCAGTATTCCTCACTTGAATACCGTTTACTCACCTTTAAGATATGCGGCCTGCTTTTTAATATTGTTTTTTGACAGCTTATCTGTGATATGTAGGCTTAATCAAAACATTCAAAATTCCATTTTATTTAATTCCGCCTATTGCTTTCACGAGTCCTTTTATATGGGAACATATGCCGCTTTTCATTTACGTTTCAAATATCAGGTTCTATGATAACCGCTGTATTTGGGGATGTTTAAAAATTCATAATTTTAACATTCCATTCCATTAAATTTCAAATTAAATGTTTAATGTTTCTTAAGCCGGTGCTATAGGGCATGGGCGGTAACTTGCACTTCCAATAACCATCCATGAACAGGCTCAATCAAACCGAGCTTGCAACATTTTCAATTTTTGTCGTTTTTGCGTTCGTAGGGATGTTTAGTTTATCTCATTTCTATACTAGGACATGATTTTGATATAATAATATATTCCTTCCTCAACAATATATATATTGTAAGTTTATCGAGCAGAATAATTAACAACCTTTTCCTATTTGTACTTATTTTCTTTTCGATTTTGAAACCTTAGAAAAGTAATTCTTTAAATAATTATGATGAACTATAAATTGATCATTATGTCAATTTAAGGATACATATGTGATTCGTATAGGTAAACAGTATTGCTGATTTTGTATGTAGAAAAATATAGAGAAAGTTTCAATTAAAACAAACTATAACTGTAACTGTTGCTTTTTTGTTGTTGTTGTTGTTGTTGTTGCCGCTGCTGTTGTTGTATTGTTTAAAGTGCCGTCCGTGACCAACTTATAAAGACCGTTGTCTTCGAGTCGCTTGCGTCTTATGATTTCAAATCCCACCAGGGGCTTTAGATTCTTGTATGTATGCAAGCTATCCAGCATGATTATGACAAGTCGGTGATTTCGTGTCTTAATAAATATGCTCGAGGTCTCTCTTTACTACTAAAGCTTGACAGTAGCAATTCTACCCTTTCTTCGTCACTGAAAACTCAAAAATGACGTTATCCTATTAAACATATATTTCCCTTCTAAAATGCGCCTAAATGACGTCATTTTGACGCAGTTCATTCATAAAATGTCGCTGTTGTAAATCAATCAATAATCTTACATCATGCCGATGCAACATTAAATTTTGACGCCGTTGAAAATGATACATAGGTGACAATTGAACCCTTTGTGGTTATTAAATGTCACACCCACGCGTAACAGATAACTCCTGTTGAAAACTGATTACATATGGACGGTCATTCTTACGTAATCATTGATAAGTCATCAAAATAATATTGTCAAACATGCCTTCAAATGGTCATACACATACAATAAGTTAAATTTCTGTCATGCCTTCAGATTTTTATGTGATGAATATTCATACATTATATTCAAGTGGACCAGAAGCTAATGATTTGCCAATCTATCGGTAATAACTGATAACGGACAGCTTTATGGTACTTATGCAGTGAACTGTTATATATCATTGCACGTAGAAAAATGTATGTTTATGTTTTCCTGGTATCAAAGGGAGTCGCCTGTTGTAAGTGTTTAAAAGATATCACACTATTTAAAACCCATCTACCACTCTTAAAATCAATATCAATTGAATGATGTTATACTTCAATATGTCATGAATTTGTACGGTGTTCGTATAAGAGTACATTTTTTGTACTTTTCTGTAAATATTACTTATCGAGGGAAGTAACCGCTCCGAGAAGTGTAGTGTATCATCAACGGTTACTTCCCCTGATCAGTACATAGCAGACGTTAGATATGTATTACTATCAAAAACTGTTTGTAAGCGCCGGAAGAAATTTATTATTGGGAATAGATCGATTTATTTGTGCATATCATATGAAACATATAATCGTTCTAAACACAATTTCAAGAAAATATTTCTTAAAACATGGCTATTTATCGATATTCTAATGCATTTCAACAGGCGTTTAACTTAATATAAACTTGCCATTAAAAATGAACCTAATTTGATCAAAATTTAATGACTGATCATATCTCAACGACTTTTTGATCAATTTCAAATGTTGAATTGTTGAATTGTTGGCAGGATCAATTCTCAACGATACAAAATGACACCCAGAGTCAATTTCAACAGGATTTTTACAAAGGCTGATTATACTATTGATGCATTATTTTTTACAATTGTTTTCCTTAAATGATTATACTCACGTTTAATTTACATAACTTTATATAAAACACTTTTAAAAACATATTCAAATAGTGATGCTAATTCACCGAAACCTTAAGACAGTCAAAACTTTTCATATAGGACGGTGGAAAATAAGTTGAATATTATATAAATAACACATGGGTTTGTGGGTAACAGTAAAAATATCATCCCGAGGAAAATACTGTTACCCGAGGCGTAGCTCACTCACAAACCCATGTGTTATTTATTTTATTACCCCGAACAAAAATACTGCGATGATCTGAAATTGTCAACTAAATCTAACTGTAACAAAAATAAACCAAGACAAACAATAACTTAACTGTCCTTACCTTTTAAGTTTTAAGTGTACTTTAGGCCTACTTGAGAAGTTTTCTTTTTCTTTATTCTTTAAGCAAGTGATGATATCTACAAATCATAAACATACAATAAGCTAGGTTTTATTTAGAAACAAAACACTAACCCATTTATAAAGTTATGATCTGTGAAATCCGGGCCGGTGAAATCCGATCCTTCTGTTTCCAGAAAATTCTTAGCATGATTTTTAACAAAAGAACGATGATATCCTTTGTCTGTCCACTATATCTGTAACGTTTCACTGATTAAAATTTTTACATAATCCTTTGTTTCATGCTTGCTTAAATCGTCTGCATGTTCCAGTTTGACACATAATTATTTACATTGCCATGACTTCCGTTGAAAACGGATGTTCACTTTTTGACTATTCAACAAAAAGATATTTTATACGCGAAAAGCACCCTATGGTGCAAACAACTAAATTTTATGAGTGTCATAGGTACTCTAGAGAAGAAATTGATGTTCTATCGGGGTTTAACGTCGAAAATAAGAATGAATAGAGAAAAAAATGGCGGCCATTTTATTTCATTTTATTTAGAAAATAGACCACATGACCAGATATTATACTTTTAAAAAATACTGTTACCTATGTAACAGTACAAAATTCTTAGTCACGTGGTACACTTGCATTAACAGTAAAAATAACACCCAGAGGCCTATGGGAAATTAGCATTACGAAAAAAGTGAGGGGTAATAAAAAATGATGACCATCAAGATAGTCTTAACGGAAGATATTATCTTAAATAACTGTAGAATTCAACATGTTTTTACTGTTACAATCCAATCATTTCACACTGTACGTTTTTAAAACTCTATATTTGAGAAGCATATTTACTAAGTAAATTACAAATGTGAAACTTTGCGGCGTTGTTCCTTCCTCGTAGCTGAAGCGAAAGTTTATAACACCGTAACGCTTCCATTAGTTTGTTCCCCTGTTCTATACATTGACCTACAAGGTTTAGAGCTGTCTCCCTGTGACCTAGGTTTTTACCACACAAGGCAGTATTTACAAGGTTACAAAGTGCTCGTTTTTGATCCTGTTGTCTTTGTAGATGGCCGTATATCTTGTATTGTAAAAAGTAGAGGAGAGAATCAACCACTGCAAAATCCATCCAAATTTTATCAAATTTTCTTCTGTGTTGCATGTCATCTTGTGTAGATTTCTTCAGTTCATATTGTAACTCTCGAGGTATAAGTTTACCTCCGATTGCATAAATCTGACACAAAATGATGTGATACGATTGATGCAATATTCGTTTTGTTCGCGACATATTCTCTTAAATTCTGCCGACCAATCAAACCATGGATATCTCCAGCAAGCACATAAAGGTTCAACAATATCACAGTTGTATCGATTTTCTGTTTGTTTCAGAATGAACTCTGCTCTATCCATATCACCTATACAATACAAAACTGACGCTAGTTTAAGTCTGCCAGATGTCACATCCGAGCTTAAACCCAGTGAGAGCCACTTAAGTGCTTGATATTGGACTGCATAATCATGTCGAATATTTGATGATACCATTAAAGATCCAGTGGTGGAAAAAAGAAATGGTACCAAACAACGGCTTGCAAGCTGTTCTAGTCTCGATCCATGTACACAATATTTTGCTAGCTTAAGGATACATTGTTTGAGATTGAGTTGTTTTTCTTGCAAGAAATATAAAATCCTTAAATTACAACTGCTAATAGTTTGCGCTAAGTTCATAAATAACAAACTCGTAATATTTTCATTAATGAGACAAGGAGTCAGCATACCATGAGGTACCACACGATCAGTATGAAATTTGACCTGTAGTCGATTACCAATATCATCAATACTTATTCGAAGCAAACATCTACCATCACTCTGTATTATGTCACTTATCTTTCGTAAAATGCCATGCTTCTCTTCTGTAGTAAATTGCCCGGCCATAAGGTTGTTTTCCGGAATTATAAAATGCGGGCAATTTTCATTTTGAATATAGCTTTGTAGTACAAGCAAGCAATATGTAAAGCATGTGAAAATATTGTTATTTTTCCAAATGAATCGGTCCGTGTTTTGTATACAATGTAATACTACAGTTTTACACATAAAACTAGACAAAGCACTTTCTCTTTCAGGTGTCAGAAAAGATTTCAAAATAATTTTCAGCAAAACATAACAATGTAATTGTGTTATGTTTAGATTAAACATAAAGCATCTTTCTCCTAATGATGTCGATATTCTCCATTCTAGTTCCGGGTAAGTACTAATTTTACTGCTAGTACCAACAACAAAACAACCATTACTTACAGCATATCTGATCATTTCAGATGTTGGCAATCTCCCAATGCTTTGTCTGTCTAGTGAATGTAAAGCTGATTGTGGCAATGAATTACAAGGAAAACCAAAAACTATGTCAGTGGAACTGTATCCTACTTTTTCGGGCAAAGCATTAGAGGGGCCGTGTCTCTCAGCGTCTTCACGTAAACCATTCAATATTGTATTTTTCAGTAATATCCTCCCTTTATTGTCTCTGATATACTCTTCATTAGGAACAATTGTCTCAAAGAGAGGCTCATCAGATCGTACTAGTTGTAGGAAACAATATCCAGGTGTAACATTCTCATCCTGTGTCATGAGAAGGTTTCTTTTATTCTGTTTCCATTCTGACAAGTCCTGTATTACATTAATATTATAAATTACAGGTAGTACGTCAACATCTGAATGAAGTCCTTCAGTAGTTGTGCCTTCAGATTGACTCCCAAAATAATATGTAGTGCTGTTATCACATAATGACCTCCATGTCACAGTTTGAATATTATCTCTCAGCATGAAAACTCGTCTTCTTTTCATCACCATTTTTTCATTGACACCAACATCCTCTAATACCTCTGATAACTTCAGCGACAATGTGCTACTATATTCAGGCGATTGAAACATTCTGCAACGATAATAAAAATACAAAATTGGAGAAATTAGAGAGATAACACTTCATTAGATATTGTTGTGTCAATTAAAAATAAAACTAGATTTGTTGTTATTGTTTTAATACGTGAAATTAGATTTATTTTTTGTTTCATTGAAATATTAAAATGGAAAATACATAAATATATGTTCTTTTATAAAAAAAACACTAGGATTGTATTTTGGATTATTTAGATATTTAACAAGAAAGACTTGTGTAACAACATCAAACTGGTCAAGAATAAAATCGCATGTTCAGAATTTTATACAATGTTTTTATAACTTTATAAAAGTAATGATTTTCGTTTTGAAATAAAAGACTTCTTCCTCGGGTATCTTTATATTTGAAAATGAATTTGTTTTATAACTATGAAGCGTGCTTATAAAAGGCATCTTGATTTGTGCCGTAGTTACGGTTAGCCGCCTTGTTACTATTTAAAACTGACACGAGCCAATACCTAGCGATGAAATACGCTTAACACTTTAGAGGAAGAATATAGCAGAAAGAATATTGAAGTAAAGAGCACTCCAACAAAAA